AATAAGTTTTATAGTTTCAAAATCTTAGTCCACTTAATTTTTTTAATTAGATGAGCCATGATTTTTTTTACTTGGCTTATTTAAATTGTTTCACCTTAAAAATCAAGTATTCCACGTTGTTAAATCGAATAATAAGCCAACAAATCTCATTATTTGCAAATGTAATATTTTGATATATTTTAATATTTGTGTCTTTTTTACCTATTATTCGTTACTTTTTTAAAAAATATTTAATTACCTATTAAAAATTCTCTTTTATTTATGATAACTGAAATCAGATAAAAATATTAGATTTGATAAAATAATCTTTGATATAAGAAGATAGCAAAATTCATATACTTATTTTTGTATGAGATTGTATGTTTGTTTTAGGTACTTCCAATTTACATATATTTTAGAAACAAGTATTTGATTTTAGCAAGTAACAAATTGTGTCAAGTAACTAGAAAATACTGATTTTTCTCTCGAATATATGATATAACAAGTACTTGTCTTAACAAATTAAGCCAAATCCTAAATATCTATTCTATTAAAATAGAGTCATTCTTTTTATCTACTGATACAAGTCGTCATTTAAATTTAGAACCTTTCTAGAGTGTTACAAATAATACAAGTTATATAGTTGATTGAACCACATTACTTAAATTAAACTGGCAGTTATTTACGGAATAGAGTTTTGGGCTTGCTTTTGTTTTTATGACCTTTAATTGTTTGTTTTTTGGGCTTAGTATTAAAGAAAAACTCCAAAAAACAGTAAATAAACTTTCCACCTTAATGGATCAAAAATCAATTACTATTTTCAGGCCCAAAAATATTTAATATTTTCAACAAAACAAAATTATCTGTTATTAATCACTTATTTAAATTATGTACATTAAAACATGTTAATATTTTTTACCCCAAAAATATTTAATATTTTCAACAAAACAAAATGATCTATTATGAATCACTTATTTAAATCATGTACTTTAAAAAATTTTAATATTTTTTATTTTAAATAACAATCACTCTATCTTGATAAATTTTAATGGTAACTTTTAAATAATATTTTGTTTTATTTTTCTTAAATAATTTACGGATTTAAAAAAAATGTAAAGCAAAACCAAAAACCAAATCTATAAATTAAAATCCAAAACCAAAAGCTCAAAACGCAGGTTATATTTTTGTTTTTTTATTTACAAAATAAACTATTTCAAAAATTTTAGAAAATTATTTTGCCATCTTTTCAGTTTTAAAATACATGTTCGATTAACTGAGATTTGTTTGTTGGTAATATCAGTTCAAACTAACTCAGCGGGTATAAAAATTAAAAACCCAAACCAAAAGCTGAAAATCAAAAATAGAAACTTAAAAACCAAAAACCAAAATTTAAAACAAAATCTAAAAATAAAAACTGAAACTAAAAACTAATGAAAAACAACTATCACCACAAATTTTAGTAAACTAACTTTATACCAAAACATTCTTTAAATTAAGACAAAACTCAATTATATAAATTTTTAATCATAAAAAATGTCCGTGCTTTCCAAGCCCGGGTTAAAATCTAGTGATTACTTAAACGAAGCAAGCCAAATACCAAGCCTTGAAAACTAACAAGTATTTGCTTTGCGTCTATCTCTAGTTTTTTACTTTCTTTTTGTGTTTCCTCTTTAGACTCTATCTTGTTTCCCCCTTTGTTTAGTTATATGAAAGCCTTTCGAAAAAATAACCTCAATGGGTATCAAAGCGCCTAGACTTAGTTGTTTGAACGAGTGGAAGGCTTGATGAAAAGAGGAAATCCTTTAGACCGAAACCCAGATTTCTCAGTCGAATCTCTAAACTCTTAAGAAAAATCAGTTACCAAGATTACTTATCCCCAATGGTAATCAGGCTCTACTTTATAAACTGAATTCTGAAGAGCAAATTTACTTGGCATTTTTAACTTATTTTTCAGAAATTATGAATTATAGAAGCGAACAAAACAGAGATTCTATCAACGTTGAGAACATTTCGATGGTGGGGTGTGGGCATTTAGTGTAGATTGGTAAATCAGGTCGAGCAAAATCTTGGATCCATAACTGTTGTAGGAGACATTTTGACTGATAAATCAGGTCGAAAAATATAGTTGTACCAACGTATTTGTTAAGGACCAAGACAGACAACATGAACCTAACGCTTCTGATCAACTCCATGAGTACCAACTCTCAACAGCTACCCAACTTCCTAATCAGAAATAGCTGCTTTTTGTTTTACCTTTAATAAAGAAAGAAGTTGACTTAAACACAAGACATGAGACACCAACTCAAGCAGAAGGTGTAGTCTCGTCAGCTAGTGAAGTAGTCTTCTTTTTTATGGGTCCTAGCGAGACTTTAACCTTTGCTGGTCTCAGAACCCGATCTCCTAGAAGAAATCCCCGGGTCAACTCCTCAGTTATCATCCCTACCTTAACCGCCTCAGATTCTTCTCGCGAAATAGCCTCGTGCAACTGCGACAATAGAGGATATTGCTAAATCATACAAAGCAACAAAATTTACTCACTGGTACGCGATACCAACTTGTGTTAACATAAAGCGTTTGTTTCACTACGTGTAGAAAAGACAACAATTGACTGAGGTACCAATTTTTCAAGTAATCTCTCTACTTTCACAAGAACTCACAAGATCTAATCAAGCACCTGAAACACTCTTATTCACTATATACATTATAATCTCTACATATACAAGAAGATAAGATACCTTCAAATGTTATTCATTTTTCTGCAGAAAAACTGAAGAGCATTTTACTTACCAAGGGATCAAATGGCTTGCCCACAGTTGCAATGGCTTTAACACGAAGGTGTCTCAACACTTCGACGAATTGCCTGTAAATTCCCTGATAACTCGTATCGATCTTCTTCTCCACTTCCGTACCGGGTTTAATCTGTTGTCTCGCGCTCTCAAAACTATCAATCAGTGGCAAGAGATTTTTCATGGTTTGCACTTTTGCGTTTGACTCTGTGCTAAGCCGATCCTTGTCAAGCTTTTTCCTTGTATTGTCAAAATCAGCCTGCAACCTGATTTTGGTGTCCTTCTCTGAAGCTATCTTCATTGATAATGATAAAACCCTATTGTCGAATCTATTCTTTTCCTTCTCAATTTCGTGAAAAACGGTTTCCATTTCTGTAACGGTGAGTTCATCTCCAGTGAAGAGAGCTTGTTTGTAAGCTTTAATCAGGGTTTTTACATCTTGTTGGTGCTTTGGATTCGTTTCTTCGCCATTAGTCTGCAAATCAAAGATTTAATCAAAATCGGTAGGCGGATCTGAGAGCCGGGAAGAGAATGATTATACAACTTACTAGTGAAGCTTGGTGGGATGATACGTAACTTCTCCGAGTGTTGACGGTTATCGGAGATAAATACATGAATTGAAACCCTCGGTTTGGTTTCGAAATGAATGAAGATGAAGGTTGTCTGCGATGGAAATAAAGGTTTCCTAAGGGTATAACTCTCGATTTTCCTGATGAAGATAGAGACGGATAGAGCGAACAAGAGGGGAAGGAGAAGCAATGAGTTAGAGAAGTCGCCATTGCCGGACTGGATTTGGTATTAACTTACTACGCTCTCATGTTTATATAATACACGGATAAAACTGAGGGAAGTTTTATTACTTACTAGTTGCATATTCCCCGCGCAAGCGCGGGGCCGGGATCATTATGTTTACGTGTATTTTTTTCGATTGTTGGTTTAGTGGATTCTTCTAATGACACCAATTAATAATGAAATGGAAAATTTCATGTTTTTATATCGTATGTCAAAACTTGATATAATTCTATATTTATAGTATTTATATTTGTATTAAACGATTTATCAATATGAAAATAACCT